TCATCTGAATGCACAAAGCGTGGTTCATGTGAAAGCGAACGCGGTGAAGTGTGTCGTCCAAATGACATTATTTGCAGCTAAAAGGACAGGATGTGTGAGCTGCAGTCTGGAATTGTTCAAAACAGGGACACTGAAGTCACCGCTTTGTTGATTCCAGGTTTCTCCAACAACATTTGACATGGTGATAACAAATGCAGTTTGGCATAGTTAAGCAGGCCCACCAACATCCGTCCTTCCTATAGAATATATACTGCTCAAAAAAATTAAGGGAACAATTAAATCAGAATAAAATGATGTAACAACATTCAATGGAAATCAAAATTGTTAACCCATTGATGGCTGAATTGAAAATCATATCGAAAATCAAAGAAAAAAACTGAAATCATAATGTGATCCAACGTGACTCATAATGCTACTCAGCACTGTGTATGGCCCCCACGTGCCTGTATGCACACCCAACAACATCTGGGCATGCTCCTGATGAGTCGGCAGATATCGGGATCTCCTCCCAGACCTGTATCACAGCAGTGAGCTCCTGCACAGTCTGTGGCCGTACTTGGCGGCGTTGGATGCAAGATACATAATGTCCCATAGGTGCTCAATTGAAATTAGTTCAGGGGAACGTGAGGGCCAGTCAATGGCATCAATGCCTTCCTCATAAAGGAACTGCCTACACACTGTGGCCACCAGGAGGAATCCAGGGTCCACTGCACTAGTGTAAGGTCTGACAATCTCTGAGGATTTCATCCCAGTACTTAACAGCAGTCAAGGTACCGTTGGCTATAACACAGAGGTCTGTGTGACCCTCCAAGGATATGCCTCCCCAGACCATCACTGACTCAACGCCAAACCAGTCATGCTAGATGATGTTACAGGCAGCTTGATGTTCACCAGACTCTTTCACGCCTGTCACATGTGCTCAGTGTGAACCAGCTCTCATCTGTAAAGAGAACAGGGCGCAAATGGCGGACCTGCCAATTCTGGTGTTCTCTGGCAAATGCCAATCAAGCTGCATGGTTTTGCTAAAAATGACGGAAAGCATCATTGAGGAAATTTTATTTGACATGAACTTTGACTTTGGTCTACCTCCTATCCACTAACATGGAGGTGGCAGATGCTCTGTACTGCAGCAAACTACCAGGGGGCGAAATGCTTTGGCATCACTTTTGGTGAACGTTAATGTCTTCCTTCTTTATTTGTAGTCTATGGTCCTTCCTCATACTTCGAGTACCATGGACACGAAACCCGAAGCAAAGAAAGAATCTGACCACCTCCCCCAGGGGTTTGTGCACACAGCAGGGAAAGTACTTACCTAAAAATTCTCAGTAGACTGTCATCACCTTATCTGTGTAAGGAACATGAATGCCGAACAGGTTTATGTTGTTGTTTAGCATTTCTTTGTTAAATTTTAGTTTTTGGTAATTTCTCTGTTAAGAAATACATAGGCTCTTATCCAGGTTCCTGGGTCTGTATCCAGTAGGTGTATTCAGGGATCAGTCAAAGACACTGATAGGCCAAACTTGCTACTATCTTGGGGTGGTCGGTACAGCTCCAAGCCTTCCCTCTAGCTGCCCCCAGTGATGCCTCACAAAGGGGACGTCTGCACCAACAAAGCATTGATGTGGTTTCTGAGGTTTATGTTAACATCCAGAGATTAGATGTTAGACATGTTTATAGTCACAAGCTTTTTCTTTCCTTGGACACATGTTACTTAATCTGGATATTTTGTTGAATTAGCTGTACATGAACACACACTTATAATGTGTGTGATTGTGTACATTTAGAAGCATCATTATGTTTGTATTGCAGCTGTATTTGCAAGCGCACATTAGCTGGTCTGTTTGTGTGGGACTCTTGGGTCAAAAAGCATTGCTGTAGCTCAAGGCTGTGCTGTCCACACATTAATACTTTGACTCTTCTCACCATTATAAACACACATGCACAAACACACCTTGCACACACATACACATTCATGAAGCGAGAAACAAAACAACATATATTGTTGGTTTATGTTTCAGCTCAGTTTTTCGTTTCTGTTTTTGATGCCTGTTTCCTTATCTGCCTTCAGACTCCATTAACACCTGGTATTGAAATGCATTTTGTATCCAGATTGCATCTAGATTTGATTTTAACCTGATTACATTTACACCTAATACTAATATGTGTCTCCAGTGTCCACATTGAAATGCAACAGCGATCTGTACAGCTCATGTTACAACAACAAATAAAACAACCAGAATAGAAGATGATAGCCATCAGTGACAGTATTTTATTGTGTTTGCTTTTTCAATGAGTCTCGACTTCACACTGTGTCTTGATTAAATTGAGAAGACTGATGTAATTGGCTAACGGCTGCCTAGCTGCTGCTACCTCATTGGTTTGTAACAGTTGTTTGCAATGATTATTTCCATCCATCTTGTTCCTCAATGCCTCATAGGTGCAATTACACCCATACTTTCATGTGGTCAAGTGATATCTAATTGCAGCCTGATCACCAAAAATGCATTACAGATGTAAATGGGGTATAAGACTTGAAACCTTAAAATCAAGTCTTGAATCTCAAAAACCTCTTTTGAACGTGTTAGGTCCAGTGACCTTTACTATGATGCTTTAGAACTAAAATGTGTCCCCGCAACTACAGAAATGGACACATAGAGTTCTGTGTCGGAGCTTCTGTTTCTGTGCAGGCTGAGGAAGCAGCTTGTGTACATTGCTCGCTTTTCACATCCTCATTCTCGTACTTAGCTCACAGTGCAACCCAGTTCAACATGGCACAGCATGACATGGCACACTACAGCTCAGCACGGCATGTGATATGCCAACTTTACACAATAACACCAGAGCCCTGTCTGAACCTGAAACGCACCGCTGCAACAGCTGGTCTGTATGCAAACACAGATCAGAGCCACAGGCCGACACGCTGAGCTGTGACATATGGATGGGTGTTATTGTACTATTTTCACCAAGTGCTGACAAGTTCCACAGTGCAGTGACAAACTCATTCCTGATAGATGTGTTTTATTCTGGGTTAATTATGAATTGTTCATGCCAGACTCTAACATTAGACCTCAGTTATCTTTTAAAACAAAAGCAGTGTTGAGCCAGGATATTCAAATCTATACAGTCTGTCAACCCTCTCTTCTGGAAATGGCATTTATACTGCAGTGCACGCTAATTTGTTTTCACAATGACATTTGGATGGATACATAAGTGTTTAGTGGCAATGTTATTTTCAAATGAAGGAAGCACTACAGTTATCAATCTGTCATAGGGAGGCGGTCAGGTACAACAGTGGGCGTACCACCAGGACACCAGAGCATGATGTTCCCATTCCAAGTCCTGTGTCAGGTTTCATTAATTGCTTAAAGTGCTGTCGTTGGGAAAGATTGTGATTTTGACGAGATGCTAATTAAGTGAAAGTATCAATCCTCTTCTGTGCTTCAAAACAGTGTAGACATTTTGATTATTAAACCAAGAGGATGATCTTTCCTGAACCTTGGGCAAGTGCTGAGTGATAACCAGAAAAAAACTATCATTCTCAAGCAGTTACTCATATTGTGTTGTAAATTGTACGTCAAAGGGAAAACTAATGTTGTCAGATTATGCTAAGAGGAAATTTTTTTTTTGCAAATATAGGGAGCGCTGCAATTATAAACAGCATTAAAGTTGGAGGGAGGTAGTCAGAGGCAGCAGTAGGTGTACAAACTATCATCAAAAACACAACCACCTGGTGCTTTGTTTAGGGGCGAGGACCATGAACCTTAAAACTCCTCGTTGGCTGCCTGTTAGTCTTTTCATAAAATACAATTCTACAGTTTTATTGATGAACAGTTTTTTTTAGATTGACCAAAACATTGATTTATAGAATTTAAACGAAAAGGCTGTTGTGTTGTTTTAATTCTTTGTAATTTTTAATCACTTCATGATAAACTATGGCACTCAGATCGCATACCTCTGCCAATGCCCAATAATTCACACACTCATAGAATTCAGTCTCCTTAATGCGTGAGATTTTTTCATTAACATCTGTAAAGTATGAAGATGAAGAGGAAAAAAAATCCTGGATCTGGCCGCTGATCTGGATCCACACCAAAATGTCATGGGTTCTTCCCTGACCAAAACCACATCAATTTACCAAATTATGTGGAAATGCATTCAGTTGTTTTTTTGTCATCTTGCTTTCAAACAAACAAACCTCCTTGGTGGAGGCCTTTAATTTTTTCCATCGTATTTAAGTGGAAAAACTGTCTTCTGTGAAAAACATGAACATATTTTCATCACTCATTCAGTGTAGACAAATTATTTTGTTGTTTATTTGTTGCAGTTGGTCTTACATCTTTCTTTTTGTCTCGAACTGAATTTATTTGAAAAGCTGCTTTCTTTGGCCCAAGTGCTGAGAGTCATAGTAATAAAGCTGTTGAAATTAAGATTGCATAAATATTAACTTGGAGGAAATGTGTTGAACTTGGAGGGGTGCAAAGATTCTGACTGAAACTGTAATTGGCACAGCTGTAAAATTGCTTTTCCCTGCATCACTGCCCTTCTGGAAATGAACATAGTCACAGTCTTTAGATGTGGTGCGAATCAAAGATGGATACACATTTCTGAATACTATGTAGATTTATGAAAATGTAATTAATAAAGACTAATTGACCAAAAAGCCAGAGTCAGCCGAGTCCTTAATACATTAAATCGAGCAATTAACTACTGCAGTGGCCTTAAAATCCATTAAATTGAGTGACGTACAGAGAGAAGAAGCTCTGGAAGAAAAAGGGGAAAAAACAGGATTTAGGAAAAGTTTGCAACCTGCCGAAGACAGGAAATTCAAACGTTCAGCACTATTACTGAGTCATTATCTGGGTCTTCCAACACTAATCTTTGACACCTATAAATATGTGCGCTTGACTTCAAACAACATTTGACTCCCTCTAAGTAGTCAGCATGCAGGAGATTCACATAAGTAGGCCAACTCTCTGAATCTCATGTCGTCTCTTCTGCAGTGGACGGAGCGATCCACCGTGCTGCAGGTCCTCTGCTGAAGAAGGAGTGTGCTTCCCTCCACGGCTGTGAGACTGGAGAGGCCAAGATCACCTGTGGCTATGGCCTGCCAGCAAAGTGTGAGTATAAAGTGTATGTGTTTGCAGAACTTCCAGCATCTCCAGCGAGACTGCTCCCTGTGGTTGTGCTGGACTGTTTCCAGGTGTGAATGTGTGGGGGAAGTGTCACAGCGATGAGTGTTTCATTGGAAAAGAGCAAGCTGCACAGTTGAGTTTCTCAAGAAGGGTAAATCTAAGATAAACAGCCTCATGAATGACGCATTTTATTTTTGCAATAAGGTTTTTCCTTTTCAGCCCAAACTCTCTCAACCAGCAGGAACCCATTTAGGTATCCATCATTTTATCAGTTACTGCTTTCCATTTATAGCAAAGTAAATGGCACTCAATTATTAAGTGGCACTCCTTGGCAGCATAAGATTCAACATGACAGAAAAAGGTTTTCTAGGTGTTTTACTTAAAAAAAAAAAAAAAAAGTTGCTCCAGCTTTCCTGACATCTGTAACACAACATGTGATTTTGGATGGAGGGTGGGAGTAAGGTTAGGGTGAGGTTATCAGTACTCAAGATAGCCATTAATGAGTGGAACTGAACAGCACTAAGTACATTGTGTTTCTGAGAGGTCAAAACAGACATTAGGTCAAAACTCCTGACCATGAATCCAATTAAACTAAACTCTGAAACTATGAAATTAAAAGTACAGACAGTTTCTTTATATTTCTGAAATGCCTGAGGACATAAAGGGTGAGGTCATTGGGTAAGTTCCATAACTCATGCATGTACAGATATGTTATCCCATTTTGCTCATCTTCGAAATGTCTAAAAAACAGGAATGTTTTCACAGCTGTTCTGCTTCTTTCCGAGGACAATTTACAGACTGGACACGGATGGCTCATTAATGCTCAACCTTAGATACAAAAACGGATGGAGCCTTCTGTCCGTACTCTGCGTTCATTCCATCGGCAGTGCAGAGATTCTGACAACAGACATATCCTCCAAGATAGAGGAGGAGGTTATGACAATGAACGACGAAGTCAAAAGTGGCCATGTTGTAAACTGTCCCTGTGACCAGGGGAAGTCACATTATCGAGACGCCTGTAGTTTCTTACAAACTTGCAAAGTCTCTCATCACAGAGTTCCATATATTCACAAAAATATGACAGTTGGTGCGCAGCAATGTATACTTTATAAGAATATATATGCATAAACTGTTTTCTTTGTAATGTAGTAGCTTCAAACATTATAATGACCACCTAGGTGTGCGTTCGTATGTGACAGAAATTTAAGGGCTAACTGAGTGTGTATGATATCAGCTTATGTTTCCGTGGAGAGTTTAAGTTCACAGAGGAACAGAGGAGAAAAATGGAGGGAGAGTCGATAACAAAGACAAGCTCAAGGCAGAATGGAGAGAGGGAGTAGAAGAGATAGATAAGGAAGGAGTGGGAGAGTGGTAAAAAAGAATGAAAATAAAAACGACGCTGCATGGGGGAGGGGACGGATGCGACGGGAGCTGATGAGAGGAGGGAATAAGAAGGAGATGAGTTCTCACGTTGTCTGCTCTCCTTTGTTGGTCCAGTTGTTTAACTTGGATGATCTCTGCTGTAATGTTTGTGTGTGAGTGGATGCTGCTGCTTGTCACTATGTGTGTCCTTATGTGTGCATGTTGTGTGTGTTTGATACTGTGCACATGCATACTGTACTGTTCTGAGGGTTACTGTGTTTACCTGTGTCTGTGTTGCACTGAGTGTATCAGTGCACACAGTTCATGGTGCCTGTCAGGTCCTATCACTCTCTTACCTGTAAGTATCTGTCAGCATGATATCTGTTTGACTGAGTGTCATTGTGACTCACTGACTGACAAACTGTGTCTGTTTATGCCTGAGTCCACACATTCACGTGTGCGTTGTCATTACCCAGCATGAGGATAGGAGACTGGTTCTCTTCTCCCCAGACAAAATATTTAGTCCCAATAATAATTCCACATGCATCTGCTCCAGTGCTTAAACACTCGCAACAGGACTTGATTACCTCTCAGCAGGAGGGACGGGGAGGCGAGACAGCAAAAACAGAGGGGAACGCAAAGGAGAGATAGCAAAGCAAGAGGAGGACTGTGTGGAAACATTTGGATAAGTCGACATATGAAAATGGAAGTCGACAGGAGCAAGGCTGAGAGGTTGACAGACAGGTCCACTCTCTAAGCCAGCACTTTGATCTTGATTTGTATGGGCTCGCCACCAGATGTGAGATTTCAAGAGAGTCTGACTCACAAGTTGCCAAATGGTCCAGAGGACCTGCTGTCAGTCCTTCAAGCAGAGTGTCCATCGATGATCCCGCAGCCACTTAGCCAGCAGCATTCCAGTACCGTAACCTAGCAACACGCAGAGCACATGGCACACTACTGCTGCTGTTTAGCAAAGAGTCACATGCAATTTGGGATGTTGGCAAATGACAGCTGGAAATTTTCAAGCAGGCCCTGCATAAATTCACATATTAACTGAAACTTAAAGGCAGTTAAATCAGCAATCTGTCAGCTTTGGAGCATATGAGCTGTTGTAAATGAGGCTCTGATTAGGAGCCGTCTGTTTGCGTGTGCATAAGATTAGTGTGTTGTTCGCTTGTGAGGCACGTGCGTGCAGTAACATCCATGTGCACATGTCGGGGTGTGTGTTTGTGTGTGTTTTGCGGTTGTCAGACAAGGGAACGCAGGCAGAGTGTGTTGTCCAGACGACTCAGCGCCCCAGAGCTCACCTGTGTACCGATAAACACAGCAAACCTGTTCTCCAGTCACCCCTGGCTCCCCTGCCATACCCACCAGGATATGACATTGTGACACACTGGGGAGGGAAGGAGCCGGCGGTGAGACTACAGAGGGTGAGAGAGATTGACAACATGAGGTCAGAACTCAGTCACTATTCACGTATGTTAAAGGGCGCACTCTGCTTTGATGACATCGTTGATGACCAGGTGCTCCTTTAACTAAGTGAGAGAAAAGAAATATGAAATATCAGGGTTATTGATGAAGGAGAGGAGAACTCTGAGTTTCACTGGTTCAGGAGCTTAAACTGCACCTCAGCCACTTCAGGACCTATTTCATGATGTCTGTTGGACAGTTTGAAGAACAACTGGCACCAAGAACATGGGGTTTTTTCTTTAGAATTTAATTTGAAGAGGTTCTGCTTTGTTTGTCAACAGTCCGAGCTATTCACATGTGGTTCATTCATTTTCTTGGACAGGAGTTGGGTAAACTGCTGCTTGAATCTAGCTTCAAGTCGGCCACATCATATCCATGTGTACATGTCAGAAGTGAAACAACCTGGGTCCAGAAAAATAAAGTGTCAATATTGCTCAGTGAAATTCCATCATTGACGTGAAATATTGGATTGACTGGACACAGATTTGAAAAATATTAAAAACTCCAATTAACAACGTGATTTAAAAAATACATGTGATGTGCAAAGACCTTCTGTTCTTCTTGTAGAGATCAGCTGATTTCTGAATTCATCACAACTTTACACAAACATAAAAGCAAAAAAGCAAGTCTTATAGTTCAACAGGCAGTGTATTGTTACATTGTAATAGTTTCCCATGGATATAATATGGATATATTATTGTCTGGGAGCTGCACTTATTTTGTTTAAAGGTGCATTGACCTATTTGGATCTGTGGTAGAGTACAACTATTACTGTCTGCAAACATCCATTACAGCACAGCACATACAGTAGTTGCACCCTCACACCTCTTTTGTTGCTGCGAGTGTTCAATGATCGTATCAGGGAAGTGTTTACTTTTAGTTTTGCCCGCATATAAAGGGCTGGATCAATTGGCTAAAACCTCCAGCGTGTGTGAGACGAATAATTGTCTGACTGCTCACATTTGTTTGCTGTCGACCCATTTTCAGCACAGTCACAGACTTTAGCCGAGTTCAAGAACTTGTAACTGCAACTGTTAACAAACTGTGAACTGGGACATATTATCACCTTCCTTGTTGTTATTTTCAAACTTACTAGAAAACAGCAGCCCCATTATTTACACAGCAGACACAGAGCAACACATTCATTCTCTTTTCCTGCTCTGAGACATGCACTGAAATCTCCTGAATGTGAGAATGCAAATGTCTCTGTCAGTGTCTTTGGACATGCTTTTCCTGCCGACCCTCAAGTAAAAGCTCTGGATAATGTCAGTGTGAGCAATACGGCAGGAGATTCTCCGCAGGAATCACCGCGAGCGAGTGTGCATGTTGATGATGTTTCAACACACAACACACATTTGAGAGTTTTTGGTGATTCGGGCCGACGCCAGTGCTGTTAACCTGATCTGAACGCTCCTAAATAGAGAGAGAATCTCCTGCTACGTTCCTAAAAGTCCAGACCCCATTGTGAGGACATCCTCTGGAGTTCATGTCTGAAAACAGCTCAGGAGTCATAACACTTTAAACCCTCCACTACTTAAGACTTTGGACTTTATTGTCCCCTGAGGGAAATTAGTTTTCACAGTCATTTCAGTACAGTCAACACAAAGGGGACACATTTCAGCAGAGGCAACCCACGTAGTGAAGCAACCTGCGTTCCCCAGTCACAAACTGTTCATCTGCTGTTTGATGCAGTGAGGATGAACCGAAACGGTAAAATTTTGTCTGGAAAAACCGAAACAGTGAGCTAATCCCTGCTGTAAAGTTGCAACAGATACAAATTCCACACCTTTACAGCTCAATTGCATGTTTATATCGTCTTGCTTGTCAAATACCGTATAGTGTATTTGCAGTCTACTGTATTTAGGGGCAAACTGGCAGGGAGTGGGAGTAGCTCAGTCTGAGGTACAAAAAGATGGAGGGAAAACAAGATGGGGCTGGAAAGGCCTGTGTAGAAAAAAAAATGAGCGGTACAAAGCAAGAGAGATATCACTCTTGTCAAAAACTGTCTGCTATGCTCTCCCCTCTCTCCCCTCTCTCCCCTCCCTGCCTCCCATCTCTCAGTTTCAGTTCCCTCGGTGGCCAATTACCACTAATTAAAATCCTCACTGCACTCCCCCCTTTTCTCTCCTCCAAGACCTCCGTCTCCCTGCTCC